CACAGAACGGCACAACACAGATCAGGTATGTACTTCTTCTCTTCTTCTTCTTCTCTCTCTCCCTCTTCCTCTTACTCTCTCGCGCCGCTGAATACGAAAGGCACAGCAGTGCTCGACAGCAGCAACACTGGGCGGCAGCAAATCGGGACCCTCTTTTTGGATCACTGCTCTGTTCTCTTATCTATCTCTGATGTTCTGAATGTAGTCCCTCTCCCTCTCCCTCTTGCTTTCTCGCGCCGCCGAATGCCAACGGCATAGCATCGCTGGGCTGCAGCGCCGAATGCCTAATTTTTATTTTATTTTTTATTTTGGGTATATTCATGGTTATGTATGTGTATGTATGTACTCATAGATTTGTTAGTTTTCATGTTTATATGGAATTGAGATTGTTGCTTTAGCTAGTTAGGTTACACTGTTTATGCCATTGTATTATCATATCCTTTTACATCTGTAGAACTTTTTACCTTCTATAGGTCATATTTTTGTGGTCCCATAAAATGTTCTATATATTGGTTAGTGCATTTTGGTCAAAATAATTTGGAATATATAAGAAATTTGGGAGATTTAGATACTCCAAGTTAAGGATAAACATAAATATATGAGCAAACCCTCTATTTAGTAGGGTTATATTTGGTATGAGAAGAACTTTTCTTCCAAAACCCTCAATCCCAATCATTTTGGTAAAATCCTTACAACATTCAATTTGCCCCTGGTTACAATTATTTTGATAGGATTTTTAGTGGTTCGAAATTTGAATGTGAAATGATTATTTTAGTGTAACTAGCAACAACAATAACAACCCAAAAAAAAAAGAAAAAAAGAAAAAAAAGAAAAAGAAAATAGAAAAGATTATTCTGATGTAAGAGGTGTTACCGTTTGTGAGTATAACTTTTCCTTCTGTATGTATTATCCTAATATGATGCATCAGAAGAATGGTCAGTTTGCTTTATTGAAAGAAAATTCAGCCTCTTCTAGTTGGGATTCTACTAAGAGTTGCCTTCAAGGAGATGGCACACCTCGTCCAGAAACTGTGTGAGTGGCAACCTGAATCTCAAATTGTTGTTTTAAATATATAGACCGATACTTCACTATCTTCCTCCTAATTAATCTTTACAGTGAATATCATTTTCTGCAATATTGTCTAGTGTTCGAAGATGTCAACATTGTGGTGTTGGTGAAAATTCTACTCCTGCAATGCGTCGTGGCCCAGCTGGACCAAGGACACTCTGCAATGCATGTGGGCTTATGTGGGCAAACAAGGTATGTATAGTCTTGATCATCAAAATCTGTACCTTCTTTTTTTTCGAAGGTCATCCAATATATTCTCATAAAATTGCTTTTTTTTTTTTGTGTGATCGTGAATATATTCAATACCCTTCGCAGCATCTAGCGCGATCTGTGAGGCCTATGCTAAATAAATAAATACCTTGAAGCCAAAACCCAATCAAGTTTGTCACGATGTCTACTAGAGTGATAGCCAATTTTGATGTGGACTAGATTGGATCATCTATGGTTGCAGGTTTACAATCAATCATATCTATTAGAGATGAGGATTTGCTATTGTTAGTTTCAATTCTTCTTCTTATGGAGGCCATATTAGAAATTCGTAAGGTTGCAACATCTAGAACATTAGAGTACTTGATTTCTCATTTATTCACAAGCAAATTTCCCTGTGGCAGATATAAGAAAGATGGTTGCTCTTGTTTGATTTTGTTTTTGTTTCCTATTTACATTTTCGGGAAAACTCAGGGAAAAAAGTTTAAATGTTAGAAACCAACTACAGATCAAGCAGGTACTGACTCTTTTGTTTCCCCCCCAAAAGAACTAGTTAGGTGATGTATGCTTGTGTTGCTTGTACAACTAAGTTTCATGATACATTGGGCACTTTGTTTATGCTTTCAAGCTTCCCTCTATATGAATTTAGATTTTTTTTTTTTAAATAACAATATGCCCAGATCCCGTCCTTTATTTTTCATCATTTATAAATCCATGTTTTGTTCTCGTAATTAAATTTTTATATTCTTGCATGCATTTTCATGGTTATGATGGTTGGGTTTTGAGATTAGAATATTGAAGGGATCTTTTTACTTGGGAAAGGGAGAATGATGACAAAGACATTAATTTCTAATTTTGGCCCCAGATTAGAGGCAAAGGATAAAATGTTATGGACTTGGGAATGTAATGGTTAATATTGTGTAGCTTCATTTTTTAGTCATCATCAAGCTTCATAAGGTCTCTCAAGGTTAGTATTCAAACTCATTTGGAAATCCTTCATTCCATCTAAAGTCCAAGTTTTTTGTTGCTTGTGATTTGTTAATTACGAGAAATAGCTTTTATGTCCATTTCATGAAGGTTTGGAGTTTTTGTTTAAAATGGTGGGGTTATTATTAATATGTCTTGTTGATTTGAAAACGTTGATGAGACGGTGATTTGGATTTAAAATGAATGGATTGAAGAAATTAATTAGGGAGTCACTATTCTACACAGTTTTTAATCAGTCTTTTGATTCAGTGCAATAACTCTGTTTCTAACAATGAAATTGCAGAATGAAAGGAAGTTGTAGACATTATCCTAGTGAGAAAAATGCACCGGGTGAAGGACTATAAGGAGATAAAGGAGTACTCAATTAACAACTTTATTACTTACATAGATCTGGTAAGGAAGTATAAATTGTAATTTGGTTTTGAGATTAATTTAGAGGTATCAAGAAAGTTTTGCAATGATTTCTTATAATTTTTTTTATAAAGAATTTTGTTTAATTTGCAAGCTTGGAAACTACTGGTGGGACTTCTTACAATTCAAGTACTGGCATTTTTGATGTACAAAAATTTGGTGCTGTGGGGGATGGAATAACAGATGACACAGAGGCATTCAAAACAGCGTGGGACATGGCCTGCTTATTTGAGTCAATGGTCCTCCTTGTTCCCTACAGTTATTCCCTCATGATTCAATCCACAATTTTCACTGGTCCTTGTCAAAGTGGTTTTGTGTTCCAAGTAATTAATGTTGTCATTCTATTCCTCTTGAAACTTTCTTCAGGACTCCAATGGTAAAAAAGACTAATGTCTTTTGGTACTTACATTCTTTTATAGGTTGATGGCACTCTTATGCCACCAGATGGACCTGATTTGTGGCCAGATAGTAACAGTAAGCACCAATGGCTTATCTTCTACAGAATCAATGAAATATCACTGCAAGGAGGCGGTCTAATAGATGGGAGAGGAAAGAAATGGGGGGATCTTCCCTGCAAACCCCACAAGGTATTACTGTTCAGTTTATTAACGAATGATTACGTTGTTAAAAGAATTTCACTAATCTGCTATATGTAAACAAGTCAATTGCTCTATTGTTTTACTACTTACAAATATTTTAATGAACTTGATTGGTTTGAAGCTCTTGCAAAAGGAAATTAAATCATTGGAGGGTAAAACATGTAACAAAGTAGGATTACAAGAATAGAAGCATCAATGGTTATTATGTTTACATGTTTGGAGGTATGATGAAACCATGGAGCTGTTCAGAGAGATTTGTAGCAAAACTTGAAGCTAATTTGAGGAAAATAGCATTTTTGGGATCTTTTTTATTATTTAAATCAAATGGGATTGGTGTGCATATAGTCATTAAAGATAGCAGAGCAGCAGCAGTGTGCTTGGGTAGTGTCTGGTGTGTTTGGGTATTGACCTTGTTCTGGAAGAGCAGCAGGAGCAGTATTTCTTCTGGTCTGGACTTGGTTCTTGATCTGCTGCAATGTGCTTTTTGTGTCTATTGATTTGTTAGCCTTGGGTGATTTTGATTAGAATAGCAGTATGGTTCTGAGCCTCTTGTTTTCCTCAATGAATTTTTTTTTCCTTGATGCCTACCACTAATGCAAGGATCAATATTCTCTTCACTACTACATGATTCATGTCAAATATACTCTAACAAAAGCAAAACTGTTAAACTGTTAGTTTTTAGAGTTTTTAGAGTCCCCCCCACTAATAAAACAAGTTCACCTATACAAATGTATGGCATTTCTGAGGAATAGATGGAGAGATTCTAAGACATGGAAATAAATCAATAAACCAAAAACATATGAATAGATCGGTAAAAACCAGACAATTGAGAGATAAGAAGCACATAAAAATGAAGTAAAAAACAGAGAACCAGCTTCAAATGATGAAAATGTTAATGCAGAGAGAGAGAGAGAGAGAGAGAAATCTAAAATGCGAAATCAGATGATTGATCCTCAAACAGGAGAGATTGCTTCGGGCAATGTGGTTGAGAGATGTCTATATACCTAAAATCTCCACAATTTCAACATGAGAGATTAGTAAGAATCAGCCACAATCTAACGCAAAATAATATTAGTCAGTCCAAATTAATACAAACAAACAACTGTGGTCATTGCACTCCAAGATCAAAAAATAATATTTAAAAAAAATGCTCATAATGTGGAGAGCAAAAGGATTTTTTTCATCCATTAAACATGGGATGTACTCAATTCTCAATCATTTCATCCACTTATTGATAGTGACAAAGCTGTTTCAACTGTTTATATTCTCAAGCTACAATTGAAAGTACATTTCTGGTACTATTGATTGATTTCTCTTTGTTCAATATCAACTTGTTCTAGATTAGCTGTTTGAGCATAGTTAAGCTGATAATGGTTCATTACACTGTGTCGTTTCTAGTTCTTTACATTTCTTTTGGTTGTTCAGTATCAGCAGCCAAACTAGATTGAAACGCAAACACCATTCTCCCCCACTATCCCAAATTTCACAACCCCCTTCTCCTCCACCTGAACCTTCCGACCCAACTACTGGTGGGACTTCTTACAATTCAAGTACTGGCATTTTTTATGTATGAAAATTTGGTGCTGTGGGGGATAGAATAACAAATGACACAGAGGCATTCAAAACAGCGTGGGACATGGGCTGCTTATTTGAGTCAGGGGTCCTCCTTGTTCCCTACCGTTATTCCTTTATGATTCAATCCACAATTTTCACTGGTCCTTGTCATAGTGGTTTTGTGTTCCAAGTAATTAATGTTGTCATTCTATTCCTCTTGAAACTTTCTTCAGGACTCCAATGGTAAAAAAGACTAATGTCTTTTGGTACTTACATTCTTTTATAGGTTGATGGCACTCTTATGCCACCAGATGGACCTGATTTGTGGCTAGATAGTAACAGTAAGCACCAATGGCTTATCTTCTACAGAATCAATGAAATATCACTGCAAGGAGGCGGTCTAATAGATGGGAGAGGAAAGAAATGGGGGGATCTTCCCTGCAAACCCCACAAGGTATTACTGTTCAGTTTATTAACGAATGATTTCGTTGTTAAAAGAACTTCACTAATCCGCTATATGTGCACACAGGGAGCTAACAGAACCACATTGTCAGGACCATCTTATAGTCCAATTGTAAGTGAGTCACTTTGCTTAATATCTCTACCTGATTTATCTGGAGTTGCAAACCAAATTAGGGCTCTTGAATCAAAAAGAGAGGCAAAACGAATTGGAAAAGGAAGAGTCTGATATATGTTTGGAAATTAATGGAGGAAGTTATGTCTGCTATAGAGTAGTAGAAGAGGAAAAGGCGCCAATTTTGGATATATTTTTATATAAATAAATATATTCAAATATATATATAATCACATATATATTTTTTATATATATAATGACACTTAATTGAAAAGTGACATAAAAAATAAATATATCACATGTTAATTAAAAAGTGTGATTAAAAAATGTATATATATAATCACACTTAATTGAAAAGTGTAATAAAAATATATATATATAATGACACTTAATTGAAAAGTGACATAAAAAATAAATATATCACATGTTAATTAAAAAGTGTGATTAAAAAATGTATATATGTAATCACACTTAATTGAAAAGTGTGATAAAAAAATATATATATATAATGACACTTAATTGAAAAGTGACATGAAAAATAAATATATCACATGTTAATTAAAAAGTGTAATTAAAAAATGTACATATATAATCACACTTAATTGAAAAGTGTGATAAAAAAATAAATATTATCACACTCAATCCAATCAAGTGTGAAAATATTAATCTAATTTTTTTTTATCACACTTTTAATAAAAGTGAGATGTTTTCATGTATCAAAGTGTGATCTTTATCTGTTTTTGTAGTAGTGGTCATAACCCTTCTTCATGGTTGAACTTGAATTAATTAAGCTAAAAATGTGGGGGAAGAGGTAGTGTACTGATACATGACACTTCCTTCTGCACAGATCCTTTTCCGAGTTGTTCTTTATTTATTCTTTTTTTTTTTTCGTGTAGAAAATTCTTTGTTTATTCATTGTTTTGTGCAATCCTGACTCAACTACCATTCTTTATCAAGATTTTGTGGCTAATGCACTTCCATATACAAATTCTGTTTAACTTTTTATTTTCATTTTTTATGTTTCTATATCATTACTCTATTTCTAATGCACACCATTACTCTTTCACATGCACACCATTACTCTTTCACAGCTTGTATACAAAAATATCACTTTTTATTTGAAATGAAACAAGAGCGATAACTAGCCTCTTATACATAGAAATTTAAAGTACTTCAATTAATTCGCAACACAAAACACAAGAACTAGTAGTACATAGAAAAGAAAACCGATCTGCAATTCGAAACTGCATATTTTTATTTTTGTTGAAAATATGTTTTGGCAGAGGCGAGTAGTTTCTCTCTGGGTGGCAGATGTTCTTTGATGACAGAGCTACAAATTTATAGAGATATTGCTTGTAATTAGTTCATATATGCCAAGTTTAACTGGTGAATTATGTGTTACTTTTTGATTTTGGTATATTGAAATTTTGTAATTCACCGTAGGAAAATTTGCTCTCAATTTGTTCATCTATAATGTGAAACCAATGTTTTTAGACCAAGACATTTATTATTAACATTTTAACATTATAATTTTTTTTTCATATGTTTGACAGATTGGCATTGGATGGAATATAGTTCGGGGAGCATCAAAGGATTACATTTTGAGTTTTTGGATATATATTAAGATGTCAACTTTTTAGTTTATTAAGTCATTTTGTTTATTTAATTTCCCTTGATGTTCCAAAAAATTTGGGGCGTCACATTTTGTCATAGGTTTTTGTTATGAATTTGCAAGCTTGGAAGGTTTTTTGGAATTACATATTTGAAGTTTTTTTCACATGTTTGACAGATTGGCAATGGATGAAATATAGTTCGGGGAGCATTAAAGGATTACATTTTGAATTTTTGGATATATTTTGTCATAGGTTTTTGTTATGAATTTGCAAGCTTAGAAGGTTTTTGGGCATTACATGTTTTAAGTTTGGGATTGTAAGAGATTTGTACTTAAATTGGATGTTTTGGATTTGATATGTTGTTTATATTTAATATGGTATTACTTTTGAATTAAGATTATATTTTGGATACTTTGCACAAGTGTGTTAATTTGAATTATATTTTACTTATTGTACGGGGAGCAAATATTCCGGCAAGCCCGTATTTGGGATTGTAAGAGATTTGTACTTAAATTGGATGTTTTGGATTTGATATGTTGTTTATATTTAATATGGTACTACTTTTGAATTAAGATTATATTTTGGATACTTTGCACAAATGTGTTAATTTGAATTATATTTTACTTATGTTTATAGGTTTGTGAATTATGTATTGAATAGGGAAATTTTTTAAAAAAATTATAAATAATGAATTTTTGGTGACAGGTTTTTTAAGTTGTAAATTTACTTTTGGTGACATTTTATTTATGTTGCTGAAAGTATGTGTCAATTTTCTTAGCGACCCAAAACTTGATTAGTCGCCAAAAGTTTAACATTCAACAACCAATTCTTTTAGTCACTGAAAGATATTTTTAGCGACGCATTTATATGTCGCTGAAACTTAACATGTCATTAGCTGAAGGCTACTTGTAGTGACTAAATGTTAATTTATGGCGACGAAACTTTAGTCTTTTGGCGACGGAAATATTTGGTCGCCAATTTATTTATAAAGGCAACCAAAATTGATTTGGTCGCCGAAGCACTCAGTGACAAGGCTTCAACGACCAATTTTGTTCATGTCGCGGATGCTTTCAGCAACCAAAATTACACTTTTGGTGACTAAAAAACAGGTCGCTAAAAGTGTTTTTTGTTGTAGTGTTTACTGGGATCAGTTTGGTTGAGGCTTGCTAGGCTCAGTCTGGCTGAGCTCTTTAGGCTCAATCTTGCTGAGGCTTAGGGGGCTCAGTCTATAGGGATATAATCGGTTTAGTAAGTAAAAAATTACATCGAACCTGTCACGACCCAAACCCGCTCCTGTAGGTTTAGTGTTGTAACCGGCTAGTAATCCTTGGATTACCAAAGGCCTCTAAACAGATTAATATATAATTAGGGGCTGCGGAAGCAAATATATAATATATACGTAGTCCATTAAGTTATGTTGACATACATGGGACAGAAAATTTCCAAAAAAAAACTTCATTTACATAAGCATGACGTCATAATTATAGTATCCACATCAAATTCAGTATAGATATGACAAAAAAAGGGGGGCTTAGCCCTATAACATATAAACTGAAAACCGTTTCATGTTCCAAAAGAAACAAAGTCTCAAATGTATGCCACATAAACTCAACTTGTTCACAAAAGAGAACCTCCTCGAGAGGCGCAACAGCTGGCTGACAAAACAGAGATACCAGATCATCAACTCTAGGTCTGGTCACTAGCCTGGTTACCTACATACATATATGAATAGTGAGCAAAGCTCAGTGAATAATAACAGAGTAAAGTGGTAAATGAATGATGTCCCATAACTATATTAATTCACAGAAACAGATTCATATTCATATTCTTGTTCAAATCAATGACAGAAATCAGAATTCATACTTAATATTACATCCGTTAGCACTAACAGATCACATACAGAGCATCGAAGATCATCCTTGTCAGTTCCATAAAGGAACCTCCGGCCGGGTACAGATAACTTGTCAGTTCCATAAAGGAACCTCCAGACCGGGTACGGATAAGTTGTCAATTCCAAAAAGGTACCTCCGGCTGGGTACATATAACTTACTTGAGCCACAGAATTGTTGCCACGATTACTTGTCAGAAATTGGACAATCATTCATTGTACAGAACATATAACATGTCATAAAACAGATCTTATTTCATATATAAAAAATAAATAAAGTTGAACATAACTTTATTAATTTATTACTCACAGTTGGCTCTAAAGCAAACAAACGGAATAGGCAAATCAGATATCTTGTGGCGCGTGACCTACACGAATACAGAACGAATACGTATAAAATTACACACCCGGAATCATTAACTTAGTTCTTTCTTATCTTGGTGTGTTTATACTTTTTATCCTCATTATTATGTCTTAATCTTAACCTAGGAATGCCTAAGATGCAATGAGGATGCTAAAATGCACTTGGAAACACTTAACAAAACTTGCTAAAAACAGGGGTCCCACTCGAGCGTAACTTCCTTCGCTCGAGCAAACATGCAAAATATGAGTGGTCGCTCAGGCGTAACTTCTGTCACTCGAGAGGTCTATAAACTCTGCAAAAGTACTGGTTACTTGATTTTTTCGCTTGACGCTCACTCGACTCTCGCTCGAGCTTAACTTCTGTTGCTTGAGCAGTCTGCAAAACATGAAACTTCTGGGAGCTTGCATTTCATGCTCGAGCCAACTTTTGGTCGCTCGAGTGGAAGTGCAAAACAAAGGTGGTTGCTCGAGCGCAGGATTCGTCGCTTGAGCGGAGAGGCAGAATTCTAGAATTTCCATATTTGCTCCCAAGCTTCCAAACTCAACTTTAACCTTCCAAAACTCATTCCTTTGAGCCCAAAAGTGAGAAATTAGATATAAACTCATAAAAATTCATGAATTGAAAGCAATTTTTGCAAAAACAAGGCTTAAAAACATGCCAATTGTACCAATCCAACTTGAAACTTAAGAAACAAGATATGCATGCAATGTCTTGAACTTAAACCTTTCAAAACATAATCAATTAAGATCAATTGGTAGAAATGTGCTAAATTCTTAGAACCAAGCTAGAAATATGACGTGCATGAGAAAATTCTTTCAAAACCAACATCAAAATCCATGAAATGCACATGTATGTAATGGAATGCTCTTCTTTTCTATTTCCTTAGCTCAATTCATGCTTAACTTAGCTCACTTCTCTAGAATTCAAGCATTGAATAACTTAAACTCGAGCCTATGGGTTGAATTCTTACCCTAGATGTTCAATTAAGCTCTAGAATGCTAATTTCTTTGAGCTTGGAGGCCAAATGTCCAAGGTTCCTTCCTAAATGCTAGCAATTCCCTTGCTTGGTCTCAACTTCTTCCTCTTCTCTCTCTCACACATTTTGTGTTTGTGTAGGCTCAAGGGTGTAATGAAGAGAAAAGATGAGTAGTGGCACACATATAGGAGCCTTATATAGGCTTGACTAGTTAAGGCTATTCAAATGAACATTAATCATTCTAACTTAATCGTTCCAAATCGAATTTTAATCAAACCTACCATAAGGTTCTAAAAATTCTAACTAGCACAGAAATCAAGTCAATTCTGTAATCGGATGCTGATAAGGCTTTCAATTCGCAAAATAAAACAAAAATAGAAACAGACATTTCTGCGATAGACAAATAGGAACACAAATAATGCAAAGCACATGTAATAAATTTAGGATTTCATTTTAATTACTGATTAAGCATAATTAGGTGATCATGGATTAACCGGTTATCATGGATCGGGGTTGTTACAGAAATGATAATGTCGGTTTTATTATTTTGAACACTGACACAGACCGCTTCTCCTATCGAACCGCACCAATTGAAAATGTTCGGTTTGGTGTGGTTTCATCGGTTTAGGAGTTTTTAAATTTGTGCCACTTTTAAATATAATCATTAATCTATATAAAAACATTAAATTAGTTATTTGTCTACTATTTCAAATTTATTCAATCCATCCATTTAATACATACTTTTCAATTCCTAAATTAGCAAAAATAAAAACAAAAAAAGTTTAAAAATACTAAGGTTTCAAAATAATAAGTTAGAGTTAAGATTATATATAATAAGAGTTTACAAACTTAAGTTATAAAGATGATAAAGTTAATTAATTAAGGTTAATAATTTATTATACTTATTAATATCATTATATTATTAAATAATATATATATATTATAAATACAATATATGTTGAAGTGGTTGGTTTCCGTTTAGATCAGTGCTACTTAAACCGATACCGAACGAAAAATTGAAAAAAAATTAAGTTTAAAAACCGTACAAACCGATTCTTGGTGATAATTGTGGGTTTGTTCCGGGTTAGGGGGAACTATTTGCGGTGGTGGAAGAGGAATAGGTAAGTCGCACTCAAGCAAAGCGCTAATAAGGGCTTGGTTTTGTTCGGTCAACCGGTTGATGTTGGTGAGTTCTGCGAAATATGGAGGTGGGTTATTTAAGTTGGAGGACTCGGTTTTAAGGTTACTAGCATTGTGTTGTGAAGCCATGGACTTGGTCGTGAACATCTGTAACAACCCCGACTTGTGATTAGCTATTTAACCATGATTAATTATGCCTAATACGTAATTAAGGTGAGATTTTGAAGAAATTGCATATGTGACACATTATTTGTGCTCATATCTGTCTAATGTAGAAATATCTGTTTGAATTTCTGTTTTGTCTTGTGAATTGAAGGCCTTATCTGCATCTGATTATAAAATTGACTTGGTAAATATGTTAGCTGGAATTTTTAGAACATTGTGGTAGATTCAATTGAAATTTGATTCGGAACAAAATAATTAGAATAAATTAATGGCCATTACTTAGACTAATCCAAGTTTAATTAGCCAACTCTAACCAAGCCTATGTAAGACCACCCCCATCACCTCTTCTATACTTTACACTTTATTCATTAATATTTGTTTGAGCTTAAACGTGAGAAAAAGAGAGGAAAAGAATTGAGATCAAGAGCTTGAAATGAGAGAATTGCTAGGAATTGTTGAAGAATATGAGTGA